TTTTCATGATATAATAAAAAAAAATATGAATTTTTTTACATTTTAAAAATATTTTTTATATTAAATTTTTATATTAAAAAAATCAATAAATTTTATAAGATAAGCTTAAGCAAACTTATTTTTTAGATTATAAACAAGTAGTTCATAAAATTTTATTTAAATCAAATAAATTTTCATTATATAATAAACTAAAACAATACTATGTTTTTTTATAAAAATTTAAAAAATTGTACTATGTTTTTATAATAACTTATATATAAAATTTTGGTGAATTTGTCTTATCAATATTTGTTAACTTATATTAAATATAAATTTTAGGTATAAAAACAATAAAAAATTTTTATAATATTTAAATAATTATTAATAGAGTTACTGTATTAAAAAACTAATTTCAAAAAATTATGAATCACCCTGTATATGGGATATGATATGCATAGTAAAGACTAACTTTATTTATTGATATTGGATTCAATTTCAAGGGTAATTGATTAGACATAAAATTTTGGTTAATATTTTATAATGTTTCACAAAATATATCCAATATTCATTAAAGAATTGTCAAGCTTTAGATTTACAAAGGAGATGGACTTGTGAATTAAACAATTATATAAATAAGTGATGATTATTCGTTGAAACATTACACTCTACTTTAAAATTGATATTTTCTGGGATGATCAAAGCGTATTAGGAGAATTAATTAATTAATTAATTAGTTACCGACAGTACATTATCTATTCACTCGTTAATTAGAATAAAGAGTTTATCATTAAATTATTTATGTAAAAGAAAATAAAAAAATTTTTTTTTTCTTTTTTTAAGGATTGTCTATATAACTTTACTGTATATTCCCTCACAAGGAGCAGACCTAAATACACAAGAATTGACAAAATTTGATGTGAAATGACTTTTATATTTATTACCAATATATTATGTAAACTACAGAGAATTACCCTTTGCCCGCCATTCTCCAATGAATTGGCAGCAGATTCGTCACTGTAGCTTGATATAAGATCCAGTAAAACGTGAGACCCGCGGGACATGCCCATTCCATCGTTTGTTTCCTTCGATGAATCCGCGAATTCTATTGTTGATACTAATAGATTTTTGAGTAAGCTCGTGTCTCTTTGATATGTGTAACACGAAGGGATATGTACCTTTCGAATTGTTATACTGAAAAGCGATAAAGAAATCAACAATAATATTGGAACAATGAGTATCTGAGAAACGCGATAAATACTGTATATACCTGCTGATACTCTTTATGAACTAATATCTCAATAAGGTTTCGGTTATTATTTGAACGAAGCCTTCTCCATAATATTAGGTGTAATGCACTTGTTGCCGACAGTTGAATCACTATTAACCATCCTGAAATCGTGCTGAAAATATAACTACCACAGAATAGACGAATGACAAGAGGCGATTGTGGGCTGAACGGATTATCAGTACATGTAACTCGAGAACCTTTTAGTAATGGCAGGAGGTTTGTAAAACCTTTTGTTGGAAATTATTGTTAGTACACGTGCACATAACTCGTAGATTGATACCTCCTTACCAGTTGCTATCCACATACTCAGCGGAAATCTACAATAAACGTATCGTGGCGTGGGGTGAGTCTTGGAAAAAAAGAAAGAAGAAAGAGCAGCACGACTTAGATTATTACAAATTCATGACACCGTCTAATTTATGTAGTCCACGATGCCAACGGTTTGTGAATTGTGTGAGATAGAAAACTGTTGGAATGATGATTATCATTAGCAAGCTGACCTCAGACTACGATTATTTATCTCACGTGTGATGTTTTCACTTCACTCACCGATGGAAATGAGAGTAGGAACAATTATAATATGATAAAATAGTTTGATACCACATAACTCGATACTTGGAACGGTTAAAAAGGAAAATGCTTTTACAGTGTTAATTTAGCAAAACAGACGTAAATCAGCAAGGAATTTTACTTACGTGATGTTCGAAAAGTAATATTGTGAAAAAGAACCGTGAAAATGACTTTTATATAGTATGCCTTGTGTAATCTCTGAAGAAATGGCAAGTTATGAAAAAAATTTCGGGGGTAACTTTGGAAGAGAAGAAAGAACTTTAGAACACTACCGAAGAATATGATAATTAACATGGTTGTCAATTGAATCCAGCGTAACCACAAGAACACAATTGGTTTTTCAAAGATCATGATTCCCACAATAAACCTATTTTTTCAATCTCGGACCGTATATATAGGAAATGTCAACGTCCGAGGATGCGAATTGATAGATTTATAGGGATATGTCACGAGACGAGCGATTCTATTAGCATATGAAAAATGCGTGGATGTCAATTTGCTACTACAGTATCACTCAGTTCATTCACCGATTTTAATATTATGTCACGTGAATTTAAATTCAATACTGTATACTGTATAATAGTGAAAAGAAAATTTGATGATAGCATGACGATGATAATTTTATTATACGTCAACTAACTTCCTTTCTGATGTGCAAAATGAGCTAAGGAAGAATTCATCCAATATGTTGAGTTAACAGGAAAATCAGCGTATCGTATGTCGTTTCCGGATAGGACGTAGACACACCGTGAATAAACAAGATATTCAAACAACAAAGAATAATATAATAATGATAATAATGATAATGATAATAGAGGTTATGGGAATTGAGAAAATGTGAAAAGGAAAAGAAAAGGAATCATTGTACACGTAAAAAACAAATAATGCAACCTATCAACGAGGAACCGCAAGTGATCTCGAATTGTAAACTAAATTAGGATTCTTGGAGTCGACGATCTGAAGGAGTTGAATAGAAATCCGTTTTTGTGTAACGGGATCAAGAACATGAATCTTACCAAAGAATGGAAGAAAAGGTGACATTCGTTTGCTCTTTTTATCGAGTTTTGCTAATTTGTCCAGTGGTTGAGATATGGCGATTGGTTTATGTGGTTTGACAATCTCGAGGACCTTGACTTCGGACAGAGGCGACGTAAACATCTCTTCACGAGACATCGTGTTTTCAACTTTTATTACCTTTGATAAATGTATATCGGGCGCCCCGCCAAGTTTAATTTTTGCCTTGAATTTATGAGTCACTGACAGGTATGTTGTCTCCACGTCGTAGACCAAATCCTTTGCACGAGGCATATCGAATGTAATGTTCATCGATATTTCATTATTTGGTCCATCGGTTATTGGGATGGCATCAGCTTTAACAGTATTTTCTGCTATGTATCCTTTCATTGTCGTTTCATATTTGTTTGTTCGTAATTCATGGTATTCCTTGATTCCAACAAATATGCTTTTGAGGTAAACTTGTGATTCGCGAAAGTATAACTTTACTGGAACAGTTACAGTGCCTCCGGGACCAAAAGTTTCACGGTCCAAAGACACATCATAGCACACCGAACGAGCTACGACCGGTCCCTCTTCTTTGGCGAGCCAGCGAGAAGGGGTCGGTGATGGGGTGACGGTATAACGAACAACCGGGACTATCATTTTGATCATCTTACTACGCTTATTACTGTCGGGGTTGATTGGTTGACGAGAAATGACTGCTTTTAACATATAGTAAATCCTCCCCCAACCTCTATCCATGCATATCGAAGGAGGAAGGTTATCGGGAAGTTGAAATTTGAAAGGCAAGTCCAAAAATTTCACGCCCTCATATGAACCCTTGCTCTGTGACTTCCATATGCAGACAGACGCTTCGAAAATTTTTCGTTTGGCAGAGTGAGCGGAAAAGGTGTCATTTTCGGCAATTTCGTCATCCGAAATCTCATCATCCGAAATTTCTTCTTCATCATTGGTTTTTTTATCCTCTAACACCGTTCCTCTGAAGAAGGCATACTCTTTGCCAACAAAAGATATTTCAATCTTTTTAGCAAATATCGGCTTCTCGTCAGTGTATCTAATGTTCAACACCCCAGATATCGTAGCTTGCTGTGCCCCCAAGCATCCTTGTTGGAAAGATGTCGCACCATTGGAAAAGCTGAAAAATACTTTCCTGCTATTCTTTGATATAGGTAACTTGGGACCACTAGCTGTTTCTTCGTTAGTTGGTGACATTAAAATGAATGACAAGACACTAGAAAAATAATTTTTTTTTTGGTGTAATAAATAATTTTAGTATACCAGGTAAATTACGTCTTTTCATGACCGTTTAAACGTTATTCCAATAGACACGGGAGCACTGTGCGTGCGAAAAACGATGTAATCTATTAGACTTAATAGTATGAGAACGACTGTTGTTCAGCACATCACGTAAATGCGTAATTGCATACGCGTGAATCCACAAATGTGTTAAGATCATACGACGGGGATGTATGCACAATTCATTTTAATGAAGACAAGAAATATGGTTAAGTTGCATTTAATTTTATTCATTTGGGATTAGGATTGAATATCAAAAGGCGGTTACTTTTTTACAATCGTGTCGATTTCACGTGCAGAATCGATTTAAAAACAATCGTCAAACTATTTTGATTTTTTTGTTTTCTTAATACAATTTCCTATTAATAATTAGTATGTGCAATAATCATTACAGTACTGTATACGTATTTTGGTTTAAAATAAAATCGACAGGCTATTCAAAAAGTCAATTATTAAATCTAAAACATGAAGTGGTTTCATTTTTTAATTATCTTTAAATACAGTATACTGTAAAATAAAAAAGTTTAAAAAAATAGTTCATATCCGATAAATGATTTATGTAAACATTTGTCATAATAAAATACTGTAATCACAATAACAGATAATATAATTAAATTGTAACTTGTAATCAAAATTACAATTTAAAAAATTTAAAAATTTCATTACGAACCTATTCATCGTATTTATGTATACTGTAAAAAATAAATGTTATAAGGTAACAGGAGATATTAAAATAATGCATTAATATCTTTCAAAACTCTATAAATTAATAAGATTTTTAGATTTTTTTAAAAAAACTTGCTAATCAACCGAAAGTACAGTATGTGTTTTTTTTTTTGTTTTTTTTTAAAAAAAATATTACTAATTTTTTTTAATTTTTTTTTAAAAACTAAAAACAACCACAACGAACAACCATAAGCAAAGCACCAAAAAATTTAACTTGGTTTTTACACG